AGGATAAGACATCATGTCTAACCTAAGTAGTAACCAGAAGGGGTGTACCCCTGGGCTTGGAAGTGCACAGAAAATCTCCCGAAGACAACACGAGGCACCAGCATCAAAGCTTGTCCACAGGAGCAGGAATTGAGAAAGCAAGAATTTAGGATGGGACAGAGATTTGCATTCTGTATCTTTGGTCTCATGAACTTTTTATAATGAGCATGCACTGCTTTTATCAATCAAAACAAAGACCAGCAAACAACCCAGAGGATCAGTCTACAAGCAGAGTGTCAAGGGTGTGTTTAAGGGACATGTCACAGAAGACTAGGGCCCCACACACACCACTATATAACAGAGGTGGGAGCACAAGGAGAAAAACTGTGAAGGAGACACAGTGTGCTGGATAAAACCAGGCTGGGCGGCGGGTCCAGTCTGCGTGGTTGCGAGACCTCTGCAGGAGTCAACCATGTGGAGATCTGCGAGAAGATGAGCTTGGCCTAAAGACACCCTTCTCCAGTTCTGAGCAAAAGTTGGGGTGTCTGAGTAAGGAGGGCATGCAGGTCAGGCCTGACCTTTTCAGACACTGTCGCTATTCAGATGTTGCTCTCAGGGCACCAGAAACCACCGGAGGACGTCATGCCTTTCCCATCTCACAATAGGCCAATTGAGAGACTACCTAAGAAAGTTCTCAGACACACTTTGCCAAGGTTGTAGAAGACTGGTGTGATTTCATTTTATGCATCTCTCAACTCTTAGCCTCACAATTTTAAAATAAAGAGAACTACATATATTTTATCATTTTTAAGGGACGAGAGTTCATGCTAAAATCAAATATATTCTTTGTAAAATCACCACATTCAAAAAGAAAATCACCCCTTTCAAAAAAAATTTTCTAATTCTTAAGTCTATTGATTCACTAAATTTTTGAGTGAGATTTTTCTGAGATTTCAGTTTGGAGTACTTTTTTTTATTTAATGGAACTATGTCTCTTAGGAAAGGTTTTCTTTCCCCCGAGAATGTTTCAAATAAGTCTTCATTTCCCACAGAACATGTATTGAGTGACTAAAAATTAACTTGCACTCATTCAAACCTCAAAAGTCAGAATGATTTAGGAAAATGCATTCTAACAAAGACATTAATAATGTCAAAACCCTGAGTTTTGAAACAGAACTTCTGTTCTCTTTCTAGATGTATTAAAATAGACTTTAAGGTTTGTTCATAACATGATTGCCATTTTCCATGCTGCCTGCCGATTATAAACAGAACCAATTTTAAAACCAAACTAGGGCTCTCTCTGCAATATTCAAGATGTATTACCATCTGGTTTTGTATCAGCATTTTTAACAGGTCCAAAATCTATATTACCAAGTATTATCAGAAATGGTTTATATCTCTTTCAAAGCACACATTCTTTTCAAAACACTTTCAAGTTACAAACTTTGAAAGTTCACTTAATTTTTCAGACTGTATCAGACATGTGAATGTCAATCATAGTTACATACACAACTGGTTTATCACAGACAACTCAGTTATACTGACCAAAGCTAGTTTTGTCATTATGTCTCTTAAGAATTACTAATCTGAGAAAACACAGCCTACCTGATTACCTGGAAGCTTACAGGAGGTGGAAGGGTGACAGTCTTTAACTGCAATGTACATCCTATGTAAAGAATATGAACCTTTCCAGATGACTGAGAAAAGCAGCTTCCCTAAAACTTACACAATCCATCACCCTCATTTCAAAACACAAAGAAAGACAACAGCATTTTTTTAGAAGACGTTCAGCAAAAATCAGCATCTGTGATAAAATAGAAAATGACAGGTAAGGAGATGAAGAGAGGAATTCCACCAGATCCCAGCAGGTGCAGCTCCAAGACGCTGCCCTTAGCAAGAGAATGACCATAAGGATTTCAGATGGTCTCAAAAGTTCTTCAATTATTTGTAAAAAATACATGTGCTCTAAGCCTGGTATCTAAATAAACCTTTAGATCAAATTTATCTTTTTCTAATATTTTCCTTCCACCTAACAAGAAAGAAAGAAGGAAAGAAGGAAAGAAAGATTTTTTTAAATCTCTCTCAGTTCATTCATTCAACTATCTTGCATACTGATTCCATGCAAGGATGGATGCTCCTCCGTCCCCACAGAGTCTACCATCCAGCAGTGGCAAGATGTAATGATCAATATGATCTTCTTCTCGGGGCGCCTGGGTGGCTCAGTCGTTAAGCAACTGCCTTCAGCTCAGGTCATGATCCCAGGGTCCTGGGATCGAACCCCACATCAGGTTCCCTGCTCCACGGGAAGCCTGCTTCTCCCCCTCCTACTCCCCCTGCTTGCGTTCCTGCTCCCGCTCTGTCAAATAAATAAAATCTTTAAAAAATATATGTATGATCATCTTCTCATTACCATGATTATCAGCCTCCGCCAACACACACACACACGCAAGTGCACCTACACGTACGTGCACACACACACAGTGCAAAGACCTCTCTACTATCTCAAAGCATCACAGGTAGTAATCCAATGGCAATTCTCTTTAAAAAGACTAACTGGTCCAACCTGACCATTTCGTTGGATGGCACAGGGGTTCACCAAGCCAGCCTATCCCATTTCATCCCACATCTCTGTCAACCACCTCCCTGGAGAATAAGACTTGGGGGGAAGGGGGAGCCCTTGTGACAATTTTTTAAAAATATATTTATAGCCATTTCCAAAGCATACCATTTTCCTTTAGATACTAATTTAAACATAACTTCAAAGTCAGCTTATATTGCCTAATCCTCATTTCTCTTTCCTTTCAAAACTATGAAAAAGATTGCACAAAAGCCTGCCAATATGTAAATGACACTTTAAAAAGGGTTTTAAATACTTCATATTACAAATACATTTAGGAACCTAAAGGGTAACCGGGACAACCCTAAATAACACAACCAGAGACCACCACAAAGGTTTAAAACATAAAATACACATACACACACACACACACACACACACACACAATAAAGCTACTCCATAGGTAAAGTAGGGGAAAACAGAACTCCTACATTTTTTGGTTTAACTTGAAACCAACTTGGGAACAAATTGTATTACAGAAAATAACACAGACCGTGATATTATAAGCCAATGCCAACATTTTATAGGCAAGAATTTAGAGGATTTATTTATTTTTTTAGAGGATTTAGGTTCCTAAATGTATTTGTAATCATGCTTAATACTGCAAAACAAAAATAAATATTTCACAGTGTTGTAAAAAAAAAAAAAAAAGGAAAGGGTAAATCAAATACTCACTAAAGGGGTAAAATCATTTTAAGAGAAAGAAAACCCTTTTCACAAAGCAACATTCTAATTCCATACGCATTATGCAACAGGCTTTTCCTATTAAAGGAAATGGAACAAAATTTTCAAGATAACCCAACTATCAGGTATAACATATGAAACCAACATTTCCTCATTTTTCCCTATTATGAGATTAAATACGTCAAATGTAGAATTATTCTCCCAAAGGAAAGACTTGTTCAGTATTTCTTCACATTTGCGTCTTCATTCAAACACCCACATGATAAAATCATAACAGCTCTATTAGACACAGGGACATGTCTGAATAACTATTATTCTGTTGGTTAATCACCACCCCTCATTCCATTCCTCTTTCTTTACATATGTAAATGATGGTGTCGGATCCAGAGCCCACCACCAGCCACCACAACCGAATTACCCTCCAGGGATATCAATCAGATTTGTTTTCTTGTTTCAGCATAAAGAAAAGGAGGCAAGAGGAAGGAAGAGCTATTTTCAGGCATCAGAATTCTCTTGATTAGATTTCTGGCTCACTGGTAAATGTTTATACTGAAATGCATTACCCTCTGCTTCCAAATGTTTGGCTTTTTTCTAGAACCACGATATGGCACAGTGTTTCCAATATGAATTGTGTCAAGTAATATATGTCCGGTTTTGCAGGGAGAATTTGGCCAAATTCTAATAGTCCCTCTTGGGAGCCAACACCAACTTCCAGCAGCAGGTCTAACTGTGCAGAATAGAATTTTAAACACATAGTGGTATCTTCCAGCAGACACAGCCCTTTCTTCTCCCACTCTGAGGGATGTCACATGAGACATCTTGCATGATACTTATCACTAAGAATATAGATCTTTCTGGTAAGGTAATAAATTAATCACAAAATGCCCAAAATACATTCCTCTTTACCCCAGCATTTAAAAAAAAAAAAAAAAAACACGGTTTCTACTGAGGTTGAGATGAAGCTTAATGTCCTCGCTTAAGCTTAGAAACCATCGCACGATTAATAAGAATAAATAGCACATGCACTTTTCTTTAGGCTGCAAATGTTAGCTGAGAAAATGCATGTCAGAGGGCTTCCTAACACCCAAACGGGATTATCCCTGGGCAGAAAGTAGATTATCCATAGGCACAAAGTGTTCGGTTATCTTAGCTTTTCTTGATTAATAAATGCTTTTGTTTCCCTTGCCACTGAAAACTTGACAGAGGACCCTCCCATTCCTCTTTCATTAAAATGTGCACATGATTCTCATCCAAACCTTACACAGATATAATCGAGGGGGTGGCGGCAGGGGGAGGGGGCTGGAGGATGTACTGCATGCAGTATTGCACTTATCTGGTTGCATTAGGCTCAAAATACAAATCTTAAGGATATAGATTTGTCACATGTCAGCCCAAGCTGAAGGCTTCCACCAAGAGAATATTTCCCCTATTCAGCTGGCAGCCAGAATCTCCTTCCACAAACCCGCATACTGATGAGAGGCAAGGCTCCCAGGATCCCTCTCCGTTTCTTCTTAACCCACCTCTCCCCTCTGCAGAGGAGAGAAGCCATTTTACTAATTTATAAGTACCCTGACTCTCCCACCATATATAAAAACAAAAAAAACAAAAAAAACCTCTCATCAATAATAGTCAACTAAAAGCAAAAGCGCATCCCACAGGAGTCAGAGAATAAAACAGACAACGGCAATGCATATCGACCGGCAGGACTCCGGATACTTACTGAAGGCAGCCACGGCCAGGGCCAGTGTGACAATAATGGAGAACCAGGAGACCCACAACGCCTTCTTTCTGTAGTTCTGGGCCTCGTGAGGCTTCAGGCGAGTGCTGCTTTCTAGTAAGCCTGACAAAAACAAGGAGAAAAGGAAGTTAGACATTTCCTTACTAAGAAACCCACAGCCAGAGCTACACGTTCTTATCCAAGGACTGCAAACTGACAGCCCATGGGCCAAGATGTGTTTTGTTTGGCCCATACTGTGTTTTAACAATTCGGAGAATTCAGGCTTTCTGGCATCTCTTGCAAAATCAGAGGCTCCAGCAACAGAGGGCCGGTCAGCCCCTGCCCCGGTATGAACTCAGCTATGTAGGTGTTGCTCTAACAAGCCCCTTCCTTTAGGAAAGCAGCACAGTGAGCCCACATTCAGCTGGGCATTCAGGCTCCTCAGCTTACAGGCACTGATTTGCATTGATCCCACCAGCAGTGACCACAACTTGGTGAAAGAGGCTTCACCCAAAGCAATGAGTCACGAATGCAAATACCCTCATTGCTCCCATCAACAATTAACAGGAAGAGAAGGACTTCTCTTCAATCACAACCAACAATAGCCACCAGGTCTTGATTATAGGCCCTGTTTTCTTTCCTCCCCTTGCTGCTCTGTATTATCTATATATGTATCGCTTTGTACCATTCATATGGCAAACAGTTCTCAGATTATTCATGTGGGGTAAAATTGGGGGTAGCTTTCTGGGCATGCCATGTGTGAGAAAGGTTTGATTTTTGTCTCTGATGCTTTCAACATTGAGGGTCCCTGACACCAACTGAAATTCATGAGGTCTCAGAGGCAATGGCCGAGCTCCATTTGCCTTGGGTGGATGATCAGAACATCTTCAGCATGACCCTGATTTCTATTTTTTCTTCTCCTTTGAAAATAGATCTTAGCGTCTCTCAGTTACACGAAGGACCAAATTTTCATGCATTCTCTATCGACAGGAGCTTATGACCCTATCTCGGGCTAAACAGCCCAGGACATACCTTTGAGTTGAAGCAGCTTCATCACGACAGCTCCAGATGGTGAAGAAACTGGTAGTCAGAGCTCAGGCACCCATTTGTAAAATACCACACAGCATGCAACATATCACACCTGGCACATCATGCAAAAGACATCATCCCATTTGACCAACTGGGCACCACGTTCAGCCTCTGGCCGCTGAAAACTACATCCTCTTCCAAAATGATAAAAGAGGGGCGCCTGGGTGGCTCAGTCATTAAACATCTGCCTTTGGCTCAGGTCATGGTCCCCGGGTCCTGGGATCAAGACCCACATCAGGCTCCCTGCTCAGCGGGAAGCCTGCTTCTCCCTCTCCCACTGCCCCTGCTTGTGGTTCCCTCTCTTGCTGTGTCTCTGTCAAATAAATAAATAAATAAAATTTTTAAAAAAAAAAAATGATAAAAGACCCTGGTAAAACTTCTCCATTCCGTTTACTACCCAGACTCAAGCACCCTCAACAAGTCCTCAAGGAAGCAAGAGGAAACGTCAAGGAAGGGGCTTTGTGAACCCAGTCTATAGCTCAGAGATTTTTAAATAATCAAAACCTGTAGATTTGCATGGGATCAGAAGGCAGAGGAGAGTGCAAAAGGTAGGTCTAAACACATCTCCATCACCTCACTGTAAAAATCTCCCCAAACCTTCCTTAATAAATGCACTTGGATGAAAAAAGAAAAACCTCTCTTGTCAAATTCCGCCTTTGGTACACATGATTTCCAATTAAAATCCCTTCGTCTGCCTGTTTTTGTCCCTTTGTCTACTTTTTCCCTAGCCAAGAAACAACACCCCATTCTAATTTTCAATGACAATCACCTTTGTCTCCTGTTCAAGTCAACCTAGAATGAGCAGGTCCCACACTCTCCCAATCATTTGTTTTCTTTTTCCCAAATGATACAAAAATCTTCCTTTTCATTCTGGCCAATTGATTTTCAGAAGAAGTGAAGCTGTAACACGTAAGTACTGACTCAAATAAGCAGTTCATTTGCTGCGTATTTTGACAGCAACAATCTCAAGAGGTTTATCCACTGGGGGTAAAACCAAGGTTCCTTTCAGAAGCAGATTTAATTTTCTAAGAAAAAGGACAATGATCTGGGTTTTTCATTCTGCCACATGACATTTATTTTTCCTTCCAAAGCCAGGTGTTTATAGCACTATGACTGGTCCTGACCACACACACTACCGCATGTCTCACCCCACAGTGGACCAGAACACTCATGAAGGAGTTTGGGGTGTCCACTCCCATGGGCTGGACTGCCCTGCTAAGAGGATACCTGAGTCCTCTAAGCAGCAGGACTGGTGGTTCTTACCCAGATCCGATCGTGTGTGTGTGTGTGTCCGTGTGTCCCCCCATGGGAGGTTCTGAATTTTAAAAACTGGAGTAAATTTAATGCAAAGACCATCCAAGAAGGCAGGAACTTTCCTGTATCTGTCCAACCTTTGCTTATTTCCTACTGGTTTTCCTTTCTAAAACTCTAGCTGATACCAGGAATGGAAAACACCCCTCTCCTCAAAAGGGAGCATGATAGACCCATAAATGAATGGTCCACATATAGGTGCCTCTGCCTCCACGTTGGCTGCATCCATACTTACAAGCAATGCGTAGAATTCCTCAAGTTTTCAGGAAGATGTGCTTCAGGAGTAGAAGGTAGGCCAGCCTAGAGAAGCTAAGGAAGGCTGCACATTTGCATGTAGGGCTGTGTCCCTTCCTCAACATAATTGGCTTCCACCTTCAGATTTCTAATTTCACTCAAATTCCATCTATTTGTAATCTGGGCCTAACATTAGGAAGCATAAGGGTTGTGTGAATGAAAGACTGATAACTCATTGTTTGGGTAGAGGGGAAATGCAAATATATGTGGTTAAGATGAAGCCATCCGTCATTTCCATGCTAGTATGAATTAGTTCTAATTGCTTTCTCCTAATAGCCACACTTGGATTTTCTGAAGGAAGGGGAATATTCATTAGATAGGAAGGTAGTTAGAAATGCAGAAGCATATAATACTCTAAGCCGACTTGGGGCTTGGGGCAGAATGATGGGAAAACACTTGGGTAGAAAAGAGTAGATATTAAAAGGGAAGAGGTGGAAACACCCAAGACAAGCTTGGCCTATTTGGGGAGTGTTAATCCCTAAAAGTCTTAGACCACAGGAGTCTTGCTCCCTGACTACAAAGCTCAGCCAAATGGCACTCCATTATCAGCTAGCTAGGTTTCTGGGAAGCAGCCCACATCACTTCTAAGGGGAAAATACCTCTAAAGTCCTAAAACACTAGATTATAAGGCAAGCCTTTGATGGGAGTTAGACGCAGTCTCTAACCAGCTCTAATGGTGCAAAAGTGAGGACAAGAAAGATGGCCAAATATAGACACACATCCAGGGCACCGACCCCCCACACACCCTATAGGTATTTAGGCCTAGAAAAAAAAAAGCAAGCCAGGCATGATGCAGAGATGCACAGCAGGCAACTGCTTTAGCTTCTTCCTCCCCAAATCCTCTCACCATTAGGAAAAAGGTAGCTGCAATCGAACCGTTCCCAAAGGATTCAAAAATCGATACTGGAAAGATGCAGCCCCATAAGAAAAAAATAACACAAACACAAAATATTGTAATAAACCTCCCCAGGTAACCTGATCTATTTAACAAAAATGATTCATTCATCAATAACTCTTTGCTGTCAGCAATAGGTCAAACAAAAGAATGTCACACTGACTTTCAGCTTTCCACGCCACACGGCGCTGGGTTCTTTGGAGGACAGGGTTCATGCTAACAGAGAGGCTGTGTGTGATATGCGGCGCTTTCACACAGGGACAGTTCACGAACAGTGAATGCTTTCATGCTATCATATAATGGAAAATGAAATTCAGTTGACCAATGAAAGATAACCCTAAGAATTAATTCAGAAGGGCTTTTTACACTTGAGCACGAAGCTACAAAAAGATGCTAAATATTAACTCCCCCTAGCACTTTCTTCCCTCCTATCATTTTGTGGGGTGGGGAGAAATAGGCCAGCTTTGACAAATGACCTGCAATGCTACAAAAATAAGCTCAGCCCGGAGTTCTGTCTTTCTTCAATACAAAATTCTTAAATCCTACAGTATTAGTTGCAGAGGAAAAGGTAATTCACATGACCTATAATAAAGCTGATAGGTTTTGTGGGGTGCTTACACTGCCACCCATCATCAGCTCTATAACAGGATCTAGTTATGTTGGAATAGAAGGAGAAACTGCAACATAGGTTCAGAACTCGTTGCAACTGGAGGAGCTCCAGTTCCCCCTGAGCAATCCCCGCCGATTCTCTGGGATTGCTGTTTCCATGTCATTCTATTTCACATGCTACAGTTTAAAATTTCTATGAGGAAAGAGATCGTGCATGCGAACGCTAAACCGGAATAAAAATGTACAGGAGATACTAAGAATAGGACCGAAAACCTGCTAAGACTGAAATATAAAAATCCGCCACAGCCAACAAAATAAGGCTTCCAAGAAAAGGGGGTGGAGTGGCGATGAGCCGGCTCCCCCTGAAGGGCCTGGCTGCAAGAATCCTGCTTCGGCCACTAACCGGCTTCAGCCCAAACACTGAGTCTTTTTGAGGGGGCCGATCTGAATTTAGATTCAGAAAGCAGCAGAAAAGGTATAGACGTGGCCAAGAACACGGCTCCCTCCAAGCCAAAAGGAAACGAGGCAGGGAGGGAAAGAGGGATGTAGGAGGAGAGAGGCACGAGAATGAACAACGGAGTCTCTCCCGTTTCATGCGGGCATCTCAAAGAGGGCATCGGCTGTGTGTCGGAAGGTAGGGGTTGGCCTCCCAGGAAAGGGACGTTTGAGGGGTTCCAGGCCAGTGTCTTGGGAGGGATTCTGAGGGGGCTGGAGACGTGCTCCCCGGGAACCATCAGGTTTCAGCGGCATCCATTCAGAGGAGGTTGGTGGTCCAAACCCAAGTGCCCCAGTCCTCTGGCCCCATCACCAAACAGCGGGGCAGTGACCCATGGTAAACTGGGCCCCCTGTAAGTGAGGGTCGGAGGCCGCCCGACTTCCCTCGCCGAGGCGACCACCAACCGACTCCGAGAGGCTAAACCCCCAGAAGGAGGTTCTCCCGGGGAGTCGCCGGGGGTCCGAGGGGGGCTTGGAAGGAGGACGCACTGAGCTCGGGTTCCTCCGAGCTGAGCAGGGCTCGCAGTCCCCCGGGAGCACTGGGCTCCAAAAGCAAAAAACGCCTCCCGCAAACTTTTCCACTGGGCGCTGGAGGGCCGGAGCTGGCCAAAACGAGAGCACGGGCCCGTGCGGGGTCGGCCCGGAGGCTGCCGGGTTCTCGCGCTCCGGGGAAGGAGCGGCTGCCCGGGCGGCGCCGGCCTCGGGAGGTGGGGCTGCCGCGCTAGGCTCTGCGCGCCCTCGCGGGCAAGTCCCGGCCCCGCGCCCCAGGCGCCCGGAGACGCCGAGCCCCGCGCCCCGCCAACCTTCGAGTGGGGAGAGGCGGACCGGGAGCCGCTACTCCTCACCGAGCCGGCCGGCCCGCCCGGGGAAGGGGACCGCGCCGGGGAAGCGGCCGGGGCGGCGTGCGCTCACCTCGATCCTCCAGCCCGTCGCTGAACTGGCCGCTCTCGCTGATCCGCAGCTGCCGCTCCTCCTCGGGCTTGGGCGGCTCGCGAGCTGGGTTGCTCAGCGGGCCCGGGCCGGGAGCGGCGGCCAAGGGCGCGTGGCCCCGGGGCGGCGCCGGGACCGCGGGGCCCAGGGGGCTGCGGCGCTCGCTGCCCGCGGCCGGCTCCATGGCGCGGGGCTGCGGTTCCCGGCGGCGGCGACGAGCGCGGCAGGGACTTGAGTCAGAAGTGCGAGGCGCCGCGGCTCGGAGCGGGCAGAGGGACTGACGGACCTCTGGAAGAGGGAGGGAGGGAGGAAGGGTGCCGAGGAGCTGAGGTGCGCCGGCAGCCGGCTGGGCGGGGGTGTCGAAGAGCCGCACGGCTCGCGCGGCGGGTGGCAGAGGCTGGGGCCGCGCTGTCGCCGCCGCGCTCCGCCCACGGGGGCAGGTGCGGGCGGCAGGGACCCGCCCCAAGGCCCCGGCGCCCGAGCCCGCGCTGCGAGGCCGGCGGGGAGGTAGGGAGTGCTCCGGCGAGCCGGACGCCGGGAGGCTAGCGGGAACTGGAGGCCGCCTGACAAGGGGGTGACGGGAGACCTGCCCCAGCCGCGCCGCGGGATCGGATCCGGAGGGGACGCGCTCCGACCCGATTTCTGCCGTCCGGGAAGGCAGTGGCCGCGCTCGGGCAGGAGAGCGGGCAGCGCCCTAATTTGACATCTTTCTCCTCCGGGGCTGTGCGGGCTTCAGAGGCTGTGCAGGGTCTCCACCTGGGCTAGCAGCCTCACCGCCCATCCCGGGCAAACGAGGTTCACCTGTCGCCAAGACCTCCCGCCTCCCGCCTTCTTCTAGGAGCTTTGATTCCCCTTCTGATTTTTCTCTCTAGCACCAACTTAAGGGGACCGGATAACCTTGGAACCACTGGGAGCTCTAGATGTTTGGACGCCAAGGTTCCCCCATTGCGACTACCCCTCGGCCTTTGTCCCAACCAGTCCCCTGCCAGCTCGCTACTTCCCCTCTGAGTATCCAAATGTTGACATTTCTTCAGGACTCGGACGGAAGCCTCCCTCCTAGGAGAAGGCTCCCCTGGCTGTCCCGGAGCAGCCGACTGTCCCTGCTTTGACCGCGTCGGAGCTCGTACCCTTGCGCGGTGGGGCTAGTCGGGCAAAGAGAGGCAACCACCTAGTCCACGCCAGGGCCCACGCCCGCTCTCTCGGAGCTCCCGGAGGTGCAGAGGCGGGGGGACCTGCAGTTTATCAGATTAAGCTTGAATTTAACGGTATCAACATCCAAACTCCAGAGTTTAGATTTCATCTTTAGATGGATATCAGTCTTCAAATTTAATGAGCCCCTTAAGATGCCAGTTCCTCACTTAAAGCCCGCCTACTTTATTGGCGGGAGCACCCTTCTTTGAAGAGTAACTACTTTCTCATTCTCACTTTGCCTATGACCAAATTCAGAGCCCAATTTAAACGCCTTTGGGGTGCAATGGACACGAATGATGGGAAGAAGTTCTCATTTTGTGTTGTCGGATTGGGGTGAGAAGATCTTAGTTGACTTTGGCCAACTCACTTTACCTTATTGATCACTAATTTCTTTACAAAGGCAAAGAGTTGGAGGACTAGGTCATTTCAAATGCCCCTTCTTGCTAGGGAAAGAGGGAGAAAGGGAAGTAAGAAAAAATGAAGAGAAGGAAAATCACTACAATTATTTGAATAAAGCAAGGAAAATTGCTACCCACCAGTCCTGATTCTGTCCTCGGAGGTAGACAGTCCGTCAGATATTGCAGACCCCTTCCCCTACCTCGTTGCTCTCTCTCACCCAGACTTTTTTTCCTCCTCGTTTTCCCAATTGATTCCTCTGTCAATGGCTCAAACATTAGAACCACCTGGGGACCTTAAGAACAAAAATACCCAGGGCTCTGCGCCTGCTAGAAATCTGATATCATAGATGATGAAATCGGTCTGGTCTGGGACCTTGGCTTGGGTATTTTTTTAAGCTCCCTTCCTATTCTAAGAATCATTTGGGAAGTTATTTGTTTAAAAATGCTGATTATTTACAGCTCTTCAAGATTCTGACTCAGTAGATTCTGGGGTCTGGCTAGGAATCTTCATTTGAATATCACACCCACATACACACATACATGTACTGATGTAGATTGTTCCAGGAGCACATCTGTAATCCTCACTACCTAACTGCCCTCTACAATGTGGACTGTCTAGCTCTGCCCCTGCATGCATGCACACACCCGCTCTCTGTCCATCTGTCTCTCTTTCCCCCAACCCAAGGTTTGTGGTTCTCTCAAAGGAGCAAGTATCATTGTTCTTTCCTCTGGTCCCTCAATTGATTCTCTCGTCCAGCCCGTCTGAAATGTGAATATGCAGATACACCCCTAGGGTTTCTTGTTAAAATGCAGATTCTAACTCCGCAGGTCTGGGATCGAGGCGGAGATTTCTTACAAACCTCCAGGTGCTGCTGAGTTGCTGATCTGAAGACCACACGTGAAGAAGTAAGGATCTAGGAGTTATTTATTATTCGTGGAATAAATATATTTTCCTTCAAGTTCCAGCTGCCCTAGTTCAGTAAGCCATTCTTGTCTCCTCCAGAAAGATTTCTCTGACTCCATCTCCCCCGGGCTCTCCTTTGTGTGAACTCTGTTTAATAATTCACTGCTTATTTCACGTGTGAGGCAGGGTGCTTGTGTGATCCCCGTTTTCACTCACCCACATCTACCTGGATGCCCAGGACACAGCGTTTCCCCAAACAATCTCTGCTGATTGGGAGGTAACATTAGCTTCCATTCTTGGAGGACATACCATGTGCCAGGCACCTTGCTAACTTTTACATGCATTGTCTTTGTCACTCAACGAGGACTATCCTCATTTTACAAAGGAAGAAATCACGGCAAGTCTCCTGTTTAAACTCTTGACACCACAGCCCACCGTGGTACCGCCCCCTAGGGGATATTTTGGAAACTTGCAGGTGCTTTAATTTGTTATCCCAAGGATGGGAGGAGTTGGCCACTGGCATTTAGTGGGGGAGGGTTAGGAATAGGGGAGGTCCTGCCCTGCACAGAAATTTGCCACACCGTGAAGACTGTTTGTGTCCCACATGGCTTTTATATGTCAGGCTGGACATCTGGGTTAATTAAAATGTGCTTCTAATTACCTTAGGGTCTTAACTCTGTTTTACATGTAAACACAAAAATATTTTACACCACACTGGATTTTCTGTAAATGCAACCACATAAGTCCAGGATAGATTGCTCTTTGTTCACTGTTTTGGAAAATCAGGACACTGAAGACAGTTCCATTCATGGCATCTGAGTCAGCAATCAACACATCTTTGCCTGTCAAATGTATAACTGCCACAGGCCCAGTAATTCCATATGTGTATATGAAGATTCTTATTTAGCTCTTCTTTCAAAATGTCAGAAATAAAGGGCCAGTAATATTCCAGTCTTGTCTTCTCTTAAATTATAAGCTTCTACACCTGATTACTTCTTTTTGACTTCTGAGGAGATTCTAACTAAGCATTTATAAAGGCAAATATGTACTAGGTATTTTGGGCTTTACTTTTACCCCCCCTTCATTATAATTAGGTCATTATATTGATGTTTTTGTGGGTAGTTACTAGCTATGAAATCCATTTCATGATCACAATAGTGAATACAAAATAACTGTTCTAAAAAGGCAGACTTAACTGTCACAGCCAAGAGGAGCCTAAGAAGACACAACATCTAAATGTAACGTGGTGTTCTGGAAGGCATCCCAGAACAGCAAATAACATTCGGTAAAAATGAAGGATATCTGACTAAAGCATGGACTTTAGTTAGTTATAATGTGTCAGCGTTGGTTCATTAGTTGTAGCCAATGTGCCGCACTAATGTAAGATGTCAATAATAGGGGAAACTGGGGACGCCTGGGTGGCTCAGTCGGTTAAGCATCCGCCTTCAGCTCAGGTCATGATCCCAGGGTCCTGGGATGGAGTCCTGCATTGGGCATCCCTGCTGCTCCCCCTGCTTGTGCTCTCTCTCTCTGACAAATAAATAAAATCTTAAAAAGAAATAATAGGGGAAACTGGGGGCAGCATTTATGGGAACTCTCTGTACCATCTTCTCAGGTTTTCTGCAAATCTAAAACTGTCCTAAAAAATAAATTCTACCAAAAAAAAAAATGTAAAACAAAGCGGCAGGAGGATAGGGGGAAATGGGAATGCTTGAGCCTGGGAGGTAGACATCCTAACCCTGAACCATGAATGCCCATGGCAGAATAGAGACCATGGAAAGACAAAATGCATGAGGTAACTTGGAAACTTGAATATGGTCATCCAACAAGCACTGTTCACCAACAATGGTAAGAAAGATAGAATATGACAAGAATTAAACTAATAATCTAATTGTAAGCCTATTCCACTGGCTTTTACCACCAATGTATTTTTAGTAGATATAAGGATTTAAGAAGTTTTGGAAATTTCATGAAATCTCAAATTTTCAAATTATCAGGCTTCCACTGGGACATTTTAGAAAGGCACATTTGAGTAAGAGCATGTAGATATATAACTTGACTGGTGAAAGATAAGAAGCTGAGTGATACCTTTTTTTTTTTTAAGATTTTTATTTATTGAGAGAGAGAGAGAATGATAGAGAGAGAGCATGAGAGGGAGGAGAGTCAGAGGGAGGAGAGTCAGAGGGAGAAACAGACTCCCTGCTGAGCAGGGAGCCCGAGGCAGGACTCGATTCCGGGACTCCAGGATCATGACCTGAGCTGAAGGCAGTCGCTTAACCTACTGAGCCACCCAGGCGCCCAGTGATACCTTTTTTTTACTCTTACCTGTTCCTTTTTACATTTTCAGTGAATTTAGATCCCTCATCCTAGAAATATATACAGGTAAGAGAAGAAAAGCCAAGAAGCTAAAAGAAACAAATCAGGCAAGAAGAGCCTCAGATGGCCTAAAACTCACAGTGACTCCTGCTGGAGCTGCCTGCTGAGGGTCGCGAGTCCTAGGAACACTCCCACTACGGGTCCGCTTAATCCGCACAATCCTAGAAAGCAGGGATTATCAGCATCCCCATCTTAAACATAAGGAAACTGAAGCTCAGGTTAAAAACCACTGCCAACGACCCCAGTAGTGGAACTCCCAGGACAGTGCTCTTAACCACGACACTGCAAGGCCACTACGGAAGAATCTAAAGATGACCCAGAGGATGGTTTCTATACCTGGCTACCCCACATCATATTTTAGATGAAGGTCTACTCGTTTTATTTTATTACGCCTATAGACATTGGAA